AAAGTATCTTTAATGTTTTAACTTTTTTATTTGATTTCAGAGTTCTCTGTGTGTGAAGGAAAAACAAGGAGTGAATGTATGAGCAGTTCTGAAAAAATGGCTATGGCTAGAGCACTTAAATGTCTAGTTTCTTTTTTCTGGCTTAATTATATTTTAGGATGATGAAAATAATGTCAAAGCATTAGAAAAAGCACTTTGTTATATAAACATGACATTTATTTTTAGGGCCAATATCTGTTCTTGCTGCAAACAAAATTATTTGAGATTTACCTTGATGGAAATGAGACCACTATGTCATTTAATAAACCGCATGGTTTATTAAATGTAGATGCTGCACAGTCTTTTGGAATGAGGCAAATTTCCCCAGGAGAGACTGGTATACAAAACACTAGCATTTAGTATTGCTACAGTCTTCCAACCATGTCAGCTTGACCCATGGTTCATATGCACACGCAAGAATACAGCAGACATCCATTTTATTTTATATGGATCCAATACAGTCTTTGAACTATATAATTAATTTATATCACAATTGTTGGGGCACAACAGGTAGAAGTACAAGCAATCTCATTGGGATCCACTGTTTAGTTTTCCACATTCACATAACCCAAGGCCCTGACATAGGTTGTTAACAGGGATCAACTTCTAGACTTCTAAATCCTCTACCACCTTCTGCGATAAAGACCCTGCTGTTAGGTCACAGTGGGGGCATCAGCACATGCGCTTCATTGTGAAGTTAACCAGCTGCACAGTAAAGTGACACCATCTACACACGTGCTAGTATAAGCGTATAGTAAGTTAATTAACTCTGCCATAAGAGAGTATTGTCAGGGACAGTGCCATCTTACAGCAGAATCATTTACTGGGCTGAAACGCAAGGGTAAATGGTGACCGGGCAAGGGCCAGGCTCCTGCCAACTAGCCGTGTGGCTCTGCAGGGTCAGCACCCTCATGCTCCAGCCAGCCCCCACTACCACCCGACACTGCCACTTGAAGCCTGGAGCTGACCCCCTGTTCTCCTTGGGAGCCCAGGCCTGCTCTGCCCTGGCTCGAACCACTGCTGTCCCAGGTGCAAGTGCAGATGCTGAGTTGGAGCTTACTGTATCTCCTTAACTGCATGTGTAGATGCACCCAAGCAGTATAAACTTAAATCTCTATGAGTGCCTATAGATGTGCTTGTTCACATCCTAATTAGAATGCATTGGAACAGATTAAATTAATCGAGTCTGCTCCTTATCCCAATTAAAACGCTCCAATGTTGCCTCACCTTCATGTATAATAAGCCACTGGGGCATTTGATTTAAATCTCATTGAATGAACCTCAGGGGCACTTAATCTAAAAATGGCCACAGAGGCACTTGATCTAACCCTTGTTGAATAAGCTTTAGATAAAGCATCCTGTAGCCATTTTGAAATGCATAGGGGCTTAATACACATGATGGTGAGCTATTTGACTTGGAGAAGCTGTCCAGGAAAGGCTTGAATTAAAATGCCCCCTCCCCACACACCCGAGCATGTGTATAGGCAGCCTACATGCCTGCATCTCTAAGGCTATAAACAGAAACTTCATTTCTTGTGGTACCTCTAACCACAATGATGGATTATTCTGAGCTTTCTGGATAAGGATACATACTTCGTGTAAAAAAAAAAATAGAAAGAAAGGATACTAATATAAACGAAAGACTTCATACATCACAGTACTGACCTGACAGTCATAACTCAGGGAAACTAACATCTGGAAGTATTAGCACTTATATAAACAGCAAATATATACAGAAATTCAAAAAAAATACAATGCCACGAAGTCTTGAAATGAACATTAAAATATGGCCAATATACAAAACTTGGTGAGAATTAAAAATCCTTAATATGACAACTCCCCTCCCTCCTCCTCCCACCCCCCTCAAAATATAAACCTGTATTTGAAGTACCAATCCAATAAAATCACCAAAAATATCTAAACCTACAAGAAGATTGGGCAGCAGTCCTTAGTTCTGCTGCTCAAACAACGTATCTGGAGAAAAGGTATTTTCCTGCCCTCCCCCGCTGAATAATCTAGCTGGGCAAATCTACATGAGATGCTTTACTGTGCAATAGACTAATCTACTGTGCAGCAAGGCATCACCATCTACACACGTGCAGCATTTACTGTGCCGTAAATTAGTCTACTGCATGATTGGCTACTACCTGTAGACACACTTGCTTCCTTGTTTTAAGGAGCTGAATAATGCAGCCTTGGATCAAAGTCACCTCTTGCCAAAAATGGCTAACTACCAAGCTAAAGTAGTAAATAAAAATGAGTTCCCAACAGTAGTAGTTTATAGCAAAAAAATCCAGATCATGTGCTACTGTGCAGCCACTCCAGAGCCCATTAGGGATCTTGCAGCAGTGACGGCATGATCCAGAGCCAGGACAGAGCTGTGACCTGCAGCCTGCGTGGTCTGGGCAGGGACATGCAGACAGTGGATCACAGCCCTGGCTCCAGACCACACTGTCACTGAGGCAAGAAGCCAAGGCAGTGCCGCGATCCCCTGCCTGCACATCCCTGCCCAGGGCAAGTAGGCTGCAGATAGTAGTTCTGCCCTGGCTGTGGACAGCACTGTCACCACCTCAAGATCCCAACCCACGGAGCAACTCTGTGCCCTGCCGCATGCCTTGCCAGCACTGCTGGGGCATGGAAACCCTGGTCTCATGCGATCACAGCATGGCTGCTGCTGGGGTCTCTATAGAAACAGGCCCCAGCCATGTCAGCAGGGATTGCTGGGAAATGAAGTCCAGCCATCAGTTGGATCCACCAATTTGCCCACCCTTGCCATAAGGCCACTTGACCAAGAAGTGGACTACATGGAAGTCTGTCACAACCTTACTTCCATGGAAAAATAATCCAGAATATGGCCCAACCATACCTTGATGCACTGGGGCTGTCAGTAGAAAAAACACTACTCAAACATCATACACAGATAAGTAGCTTCCCCCGCCTTCCACGGACCCCTTCCTCTTCCCCGTAGAATAAGTATCAGGGCTTCACTTTTGTGCTCTGAGCTTTTATGTGAAACAGCGACTCCATTTTTTGTCATTGTTTAAAGAATTTTTCCATTTGCTTTAAGAACAAAGGCAATTTTTCTTTTTATTCAGGTTGGCAAGGGAGCGTGTCAATGGAGGCATCGGTACTTCGTAAGCCACTTTGGCATTTGGTATTTCAGACATGCTGTGAATTTCCTGTCTTCTTTAATCCACAACTCCCCTCCTCCCTCCCAAAAACCCTCATGACCTAACTGATACCAACTCTGTGAATAGAAAAGGAACTAAGTGCATTCTCCTACATTTTCATTGCGGCATCTGCAACTTCATTTACAGTAAGTGCATCATGTTACATTGAAAATGCCTATAAGGGCTTTAAGAGGGAGACAGAGTAACAAATTTTAAATTAACCATCTGGCAGGAATGTCATTAACCCTGCCCCAAGAAAGCCTTTTTAAAAGGCAAAGGATATCAAAAGATCTGCCTCTAATGTACTGCTCAGTAAAAGAGTTTTCAATGTTAAGTATACTTCTATAATCTGAAACTTCAGGGAAGAGCTGAAAGTTTGCTAGTCTCAAACACACGCAATCAGTTATATTGATGCAACTCCTAATTACAGCCAACAAAGATTGTATCCATGTAACCAAAATTAGTCTTGGTTTACACATTTACATGGGCTTGTACTCTTCAAGTGTTGACAAGTAGCTTGCCCCTCAGAATTAGTGCCCAGATTAGAGCAAAACTGCAGCAGACCAAATCTTCATGGGGAGCAAGAAATAACTGGATTTAATCCTATTCTGGTCAAATACAAATCTTATATACAGGGCCAAATTTGCCTCCCCTTCATATCAGTGTAGATGGTATTACTCCAGGTTCACTATGCTATATTCTTGCTTCCACACTTAGATGAAGCATCCATTTTGCAAAGTCTAGGAGACCCACAAAAAACAAAACAAAACAGCAAAATGGGCAGTTGTGTCTGCAGCTCCAGAAAGAATGAAATCAAGGTGTTCAAAAAGTATATAAACCACCAAATAAAGACGCTTTCTTTATCCACAGACACCTCAATTAGTTAGACCCCATTTATTCAAATGCTGGATTATCTGAAATTTTGGCTTCCAAATAAAAACAAAGCCGCTCAGTTATTTTCAGTTGCCTCCCTTCAACAAATAATGGGAGCCTTGTTTCCACAGAATCAGGTAGTCCCCCTTCCCCATTCCCAGATACAATACAAATACGTGCATTAATTACCTTTGTCATTCAATGCAGAGAGTTTAAGTTTAATATGATACCACTGGGGCAGCACAGGGCACCTGCAAATGGACCAGATGTTGCTAGTTCACCATGATTACTGGGCAACATATTTGTATGTGGTTCTCATTTATTCCTCAGCAGTTGGAAAGAACATCTGGTGCTGGGAATTCATCAGCCATACTTCATCAACACACTTTCTAACACAATGTCACAGGAATGACTGTGAATGCTGATAGCTCCCCTTGATTTAAAAAAAACACCCCTCAAAGTAGATATTTAGAAAATGATGATGACAAAAAAATAACCAATAAGACATCCTACTTTCTTGAGAGAAGGAAGTGAGAAAGATTCTTGCAGAGGGGTGGAATAAGAGGGAGGGAGGGTAAGATTGTAAGCCAGTTGCACATAACCGCTATTTCAGTAACACCTCCAACTGGTCGAAAGAACCAAGAAGAAAATGTGGCGATCTACCCTGCAATTAAAGCTCTCCAAACAGGAAGAGAGAAACATATATATTTAAGCCAGCCCCAGGCAGTACTTTCACTCTGGTCTTTGAGGAATAAGTGTTGCATCAGATTTTACAAGGGAATGATTTGCTTGAGAAACAAGCCATTTCACTGCATAACAAGGGCTGGAGTCAGTTATCTTGTGCAGTTCTGTTTACTTACAAGAATGTACATGTGGTCCTGAATGCAGGATGAATCAAATAACCAGCAAGTTTCCTACCTTTATGTAGCACCTGCCCCAAGAGTCAACTTTAGAGGCTTTTCCCCAGGCCACACACAAGTGCTGTTTTAGGCTTTGTGGAAGCTTTCTTCTTCCTTGGTCCCTTCCATGCCCACACACAATCCTTCCCAGACACCTAGCTAAAACCTCAAGAGTGTTTGAATGCCTGAGCAGCCTTGCATTTGTTTTTGTTTCGACTAGGAAATACATTCAACTTAAATGAAGGAGAGTGGTTAAACCTACTCCCTTCAACAACGTTTAGTCCGATTCATAGATGCCCTCCTCAGCTTCAGCTTTAGTCATTGTCCTTATGGCATCTCAAACAGTAACATCTCAAATAAGCCATTCAGATAGACTTGTAATTTGACAAACACACAACAGCAACAGCTGACACAATCTGAACTCTTTACATCATTACAAGGCTCTTCCAGCAGGACAGTTTCAATTCACCAGTTTCAATTTCCCTGGCATCCAAATGTCTTTAGTCTCTTGCTCCTAGCTCAAGTTTCAGTCAGGAGGGTCATGTTTCACCAGAACCTTTAGAAGCATCCCTGGTTTGTGAAGGAAATGCTGACTGAGGTGGACATCATCCATTTGGTTTTAAAGGGGGAAACCAGTCCTGGGACAGTTATTTCAGTCTTAGCTGCCACAGATGTAATGAAGTTTTGGTGACAGTCACACAAAATTCTTGTCTCTGAGGTCTCCTTAAATAGTCCTTTATAGCTGGGGGTGGTAATTGTTCTTCTTGCATGTGTGCATTGGTCCATGGGGTGTTTAGCTGATTCCAACTACCTGGAGTACAAGGAGGGGACAGTTCAATTATGTTAGCAGCAGTCCCACATTCACATAATGTGGAGTTAAGGATACTCCAAGGAATGAGGTAAACCTTCAATCAGCTAGTACCCATGTGTAACCTGTTTGAACACACTTTTCTTTGCAGGGCAGATTGCATTCAGTTGGTTTAGAATTGATGACTGAAGATGTTCCTCTCTCAATATTCCCCTTGCCTTCTGCAGATGCACCAAGATCACTCCATTGCTAGATATATAAAGAGGAAATTCTGTGTTCTGAGAAAAAATAGGTGGTGAGCTCTGAAGAGCTGGGTGTCAGGAGGAAGTTTGTTGGCTTGGTGTGAAGAGGAGGCCAAATATGTGATACTGTATTAAGTTCTACCTCTACAACACCCAACAACTCTGGGTTTAGTCTTGGAACACAGCTGTTCTGTACATACCACTTCACTGGCTGGCTTTGGTACTGCATAGGATCTCCCCCAAGATTTATCCAACTGATGGCTCCTGCCATTCTTCCTACTAGGACAGTGAAGTTTCTACATATGACCTCACATCTTACAGCCTTCTCATTTTAGCAGAGGTTATCCTCAAATTTCCTCCAGAAAAGGGCTGAGCTTTGTCCATCTGGATTTCAGGATTTCTACCTAGGTCGTATCCCTTTGTTTTTCTTCAGGAACTCCATTCAAGACGTATGTCAAGACCCTTAGCTCATGCCCAAATTGAAGAGTGCTTACCATTGTCCTATAAAACATGGAAAGGAAGGGATTTTTTGGCTCCAGGCTCTGCAGCTGTTCTACAAAGGATAGCCAGCTGGTTCTCCAGAGTCCTATTGAACCTGTTCACCATTCAGTCAGATTGTGGGTCAGTGGGAATGGTATGTGTTTTGTGAATCCCAAGAATCTCATAAATTGGATTACATGCTTTTAATCCAAACTTTTCTCCCTTGTTCTGTATGCAACTCACTCAGGCCCTCAAAAATCAGGTAAAGAATTTACTCTATAGGGCCTCTTTCCATCCCAGACTTCTTTTATCTTCTTGAGTAAGCTTAAAGCCATTTTGTAAAGTTATTCATGGTGACCAGCCAATAATGACTGCTAGTCTCTGATTCAAGCAAACATATAAGAACACCCATAGCAGTATGCCCTGTTATTGCACCTTTAAAATTACTGAAGAGGGGGTAGAAAAGAAACCTTCTTGCCTTAGAGAGAGCCTTCTTTGCAACACAAGTACCACGTTTCTTGCAACCATTTTCTACATGTTATCTGCTTTTTACCTGAAAGAAACTCTCCTGCAACTGTTCACATTTATCAACCAACTTTTTAATGGATTGGAGAGAGCGAGCCAATACCTGTACCACCATTCCCTGATAATCCTGTTTCATATATAACATTTTATCTTTAAACAGTATGCCTATATGTACTGGTTTGGCTAAGGCAGTCCCAGATTTAGTAGGGAAGAGGGAGAAGAAGGAGAAGGAGTGATTGGGGGAGAGGGACGGAGGGGAGGAGGGAGGTACAGGGAAGGGAGCCAAATAGAAAGGAATCTGGTGGGGAGCTGGGGGGGGGTGGCATATAGAGGAGGCCTGATGAAGGCAAGAGGAGGTTGCCCAGGTTCAGCCTCTCACTGACATAACGGTCAAGAAACTGCACAAGCCTCAGCACATGCACATACTGATACAACAGCTGCACATGCACAGACACAAATACATACATACCTAGATAGATACATGTGCCCGTGCACACACACACACACACACACTTCCCATGGAAGAGGTTATCTTTTTCCCTGCTCAGCAGCAGCCTCCACCTCAGCCCTCCTCCTCCTGCTCTCTTGCCCAACAGAGCTCCAGCCACCTGTTTCCTGGCCTTGCTCACGCCATTTGCCCATAGGCAGTCTCTGCTTTCCCTCCACTGCTGGCTGGCAGGGAGGTGGAGAGACATGGTGGGAGCAGGGGGAAGTGTTCCCAATTTTCTTTAAAACAGCATGGTAACCAGAAAGCTTTTCGGTCCAGATTTCCCAAGTGATTTTATACTCCTACTCCATTGCAGTTTTAGGGTTCTCTCTTTGGGAAGCCGTGAGCAGCTCTGGAATTTATTTCTGCAATCTCACATCCTCTCTTCCAATTAAACCAAGAGTTTGTGCACTTCTACAAATTGTGGGAAGAGAGGAGACACTACTTATTTCAGAGCACACATCTCCTTGAACAACCAAGTCCTTGCCTTTCTGCTTAGAAGCAATATTTGCCTTTAAGGTTCTCTAGACAAGGCAGCACTATTACCATGCTTGCTTCCACATCTGTATTTGACTGAAACAGTTTCTCCTATCGCCTGGCAATTTGTGCCTTAGATTTTCTGAATCTGAATCCAGAGTCAGTCCAGAAATGTCAGCCTCTCCCAAACAAATACTTCCTCCTGATTAAAGAACCTATAGAGTCTTTCCATCACAAACCATTTCTCTGAGTATCTTTGAAATAGTGCACATTGTCTCTCTCTCTCAAAAAACCCCCAAACAACAAAACCCTTAAATTTTGCTGTAATAAAGCCTCATCATCTCCAGTCCTGCCCTTCAAGAGACAGGAGTATTTGCATCCAGTATAGAAAAAGATAAACATGGCTAAAGTCAAGGTAAGAACATCTACAAAGGCTCTTTGCAACTGATTCTCTTCCTCCCAAACCCATGCAGTGATTTTGCAAGACTGGCAACCTCTACCTCTATTCCAGAAGTTTTGAGTCCTAAACAATTCTATACATCCTTGAATGTTTTCAGAGATGAGACCAGCCCTCTCTGCAATCTCCAATTTCCTCCGAGAAAATTTCCTGGATGAGTGCATGCCCAAGGCTGATCATCTTTAAGTCACATTTCTATGCGTTCCATTTCAGATCATGAACCTTCAGCTAAAGACAAAACCATTTGCAAAGTTTGGAGCATTTTTCCCATGCTATATTTTTACTCTTCAGTGTAACAAACTGAGGAGCAAGCCATGTAATATGCTTTGTATATCTCAGATATGACAGTTTTTGGCTTGTACAATTCACCTATTCCTTTAAATTGACAAAGATCTTGTCTTGCTGTGAGATCTTTTGTTTCCTCAGACCGTTAGCTCCACTTCCTCCAGACAGCTCCCATTTTTTAGCAGTTCATATCGACAACCAGGTTGAACCTTCATTCAAAATATCTTCTGTTCATGGTAAGGTAGTTAGAGAAGAATCCTTCAAAGTGACTTCATTTAATTTTCTGTGGACCATAGATCTTGTGCTAACCATTCTCACTCTCAACCAGAACATGCCAAAGCCAAATACTTACTAAAGGCTCCGTTATGCCTTGCTAATACAGGCCACTAAGGAAGAGTGAAGCCTTTTCCCTATTCGTGAAGATGATGCGAGGTGGCTATTTAATGACTTGGCATCACCCAATAATATTTATTTTGTGTTGGTCCAGCCAGTACAAAATCTGTTGGACTGGTAGAATACCCCATTCCCAAGTAGAAAGGATGGCCCATTAGCTTTTACTCAGTTAAGCCCACAACACTGCACTGGAACAATGCCAGTATAAACTCTAGAAGCTGTCCTTTGCACCCTTCCCTTTGTATTCCTCTATGCCGGCTTTTATCAGATCCACCTTTCTCTGTGTTGCTTGTCAGGGACTTTCTGCAACAGGGATCAGTTTTGTTTTAGAGCCACAAGAACTTCAGCAGTGCAGACAACTCTCTGCCCGAAGGCCCTGCACTTCAAAACAGGTTTCAACTACTACCTATCTTTCTTTCCTGGAAAATGATCACACAGCCATATAATGGTTTCTGACCCTGGAGGCAGACAATTCATTCCCTGTAAACCATTTACATTACTGGGGCCACATCTTTAAAAGGGCATTTTGACAGACTGGATTTCATCATGACTAGTAACTGTCTAGTCCAAGTGTCTTGCAAATGCAAAGAATACTCAGGCTACCCACACCCTCAACTACTCAGCATTCCTGCTCAAACTCCATAAGCCCTGATTTCAAACGCAGTTTTCACATGGATGTATGCTTTCCAGGGATCCTGTTTAACTTGGTTTTCACAGCAAGACAAGGCCTATGACAATTTAAATTTTAAAGTAATAGGTGTTCAATACACCTGTCCCTATTTAAGGCCAAAGAAGTGGTTGAATTTTGGATTCCCCATTCTCTAATCTTACCATATCTGCTCCAGTAATTCGCACTTGAACTAGTCTCAGTTCTTGTTATCATACATTCAGTAGTGGAGCAATGGTGATAAGTATTTAAATCCCTGAGCTAATCTGTCCAACTGTGAGGCTGAACCTTGCGTCTCCAAGAATTGTCCCTTTGACTTGGGAATGGAAAGAGTAGAGGAGAAAACCAAGCTAGCTGAGGGGTTTTCATTAGAGTCTTATGTTTATGATGCTACTTTTTGTGGCCAATTGTTTCAGTGCATTAACATTTCACTGAGCTGCTTCCCTTTGTTTTTGGATTATTGCCAGTTTCCCTTGTGTCACTTTTTCAAACTGTTCAATACGGTCATGACCCAGATTAGATCAGGTTTTTCCAACCCATATATCAAACAGGGAGATGCACTTATAGAAGCTGATTGCCATAAGTGATATCTTTTTTCACTAACAGCTGTTTTTCTTTTCTTGTGTGCTGCTGCAAGGGAAAATTCGAGCTCCATGGAAATTCCATGGCATCTGTGACCTCCTGTTGCTGATCTTAAATTAAGTCTAAATCCAGCTGAATGTCCACAGATTGGTCCGTTGCCAATTTATCCTGAACGTCTCTGCGGCTATCTTGGCATCTCTTCAAATCCTCTACTGATTCAAGAGGATTCTCCAACACCATCTGAAGTAGATGTTGAAGTTGTTGCTAGGACCTTGGCACCACATCCTTCCAGCCATTTGCTTTAGTTGTGATGCTGAACTCTACCAAGACTTTCAGGGAGTTTATTTCCCTCAAATAGAGCAGACTTTTACATGATTTGAGCTGGAGCACTGGGCATTGATATGATAACTACTGGCCTTGAAAAAACAGTTTACTGTGACTAGGCCTAGGTCTAACTGGCCAAGTTACTCATCCAGAGGGCTGATCGATTTTCACACCAGCCTTGGTATTTCTTTCTGGAGTTTGAAAGTTGAGTTCAAATCTTTTCTGTTGCTAGTTTATTAGCAAATACCAGATTAACTAAACTTTTCTGGATTGCTCTCCAATTTTGTAGAAAGCATCTGTCCTAAAGCAGTCAAGTTGCTGGTCATCCCTTCAATCTGTCTCATCATTTCAGATCAGAAATTTTGCAGTTGGGCTTCTCCATCATTCAAAAAACCCACTGCATGCCCACAGGTAATGAGTAAATTAAACCAAAATGCTACCAAAGCCTTGACTTTTTTTCTGCAATGGCAGAAAAATTGTTAGGTTAAAACAGGGGTGGCCCACCTGTAGCATAGGTACCATGAAGGCACAGGCTGCCTCTGTGTGGCATCAGCAGAGTGGGGAAGGGACAGGCAGTACAGCAGTGGATCAGGCAGGAGGCATCAAATTGGACAGGGAGTACAGGGCTATGAGCAGAAAGCAGAGCAACAATCAAGTAGGGAAAGGGATTGGAGTGGCACTTGGGGAGGATACATGGATAATTTGTGGCATGACTACCAAAAAGGTTGGTCCCCACGGGGTTAAAATATGTTCAGATTAATCCAAGAAGAAGACCACAGTCTACACTATAGACAGTAGCAAAGACTACAGATGTTTTTTTGCCTTATGTGGGGAAAAAAACTTCTTTAGCTCAAATTTTGTAATTAATTTGACTGAGCACACAAGCAGGAAGCTGGCCGAACACCCAAGAGGTTTCCAAATACTAATTGAAGCTCATAGCACACCACCAAAATACCCACTTCCAGAAGAAAGCAACACCCCCCTTTCCAAACCAGCAGGTAAAGCAATGGATTCCAAGGGAGCGGTGATAGTGAAGCACCTCTCCAATGACTTCTCCTGTTCCACCTGAGGAGAGACCGATAACCTCATAGAGCTAAATACTTCTTTTCAGCCACATCATTGAGACAACAGATACTCAAGTCTCTCTCACACAAGGTAATTTGCACTGCAAAAATGCCTCTGCCCTATCCTACTATCCCTTCTATGACCTTGGCGAGCTGTATCTTTAACAAATCAGATTCCTTGCCCCAATTACATTATTCAGAAGACCGCTGAAAAACTTCACCCTTCTAATCACTTCTGCTGATTTCTAGCTTAAGTCAGTTATGAACCAGTTTTATCCACTTGATTACTCATTAGTATTTGTCGACAGATATAGCCCTGGCTTTCATTCTGCAAATGTATTAAGAACGGGTAGTTGTATCGCTTCTTAACCTTTGGCTCTTTTAGCTTAGCAAAGCTCTTAATCTCTTTTGATAAGACAGCATGGTTAGGGGAGTGGAAGATGTAGTAGGCCTTTTTTGTACCCATTCCCATTAAAAAGCATGAATTTAAGCAAAGATATAGTTTTATTCTAGAAAGGTGGGGAGAGGAAAGCTAG